AACACGGGAGAGTAAAGAGAGTTAGTGTGGTTCATAAAGTGTCGAACATTTTTAACCTTCATGCAAGACAATGAAACAGGTATTGAAAGCCACCTATAGCACTTCTTTTAAATTTGAAATTCAATGAAACTTTTATTGTAATTTTTCAAATGCAGGAGTACCAATTTCTTAATTCATTTTAGCTACAGGCAACTATATAACTTCATTCAATAATTTTAAAAACAGTTTTGGCGCAGGAAATATCATTCCGCAAATGCACCCGACTATGATCCACCATCCGATTGTTCACGTAACGACTTAAGTACCAGTCCACATAAAAATCATGCAAAAGGTGATACACTCAGGTTCTCAGAATTCAATGATTTTCCACACATAGATTTCTCTTGACCTATGATCCATGTATGTAAAACAAAAAATGTTTTGGATCTCAATGTCATGTATGGAAACCTGATCAAAAGCAATTTCCTTAGCAACCAGCCAATTTTTTTATTTGAGTTAAAATTGCAAAATGACTGATCTTTAAAGCCTGAAATTATATATAAAAACTTTAATAATAATTCTCATTTACTGGTGTGATAAAGACACACACTTTATTTGTTTATTACACACAAGACATTGATATTTTATCTGAAGCTAGTACTATGGTAGACATTAGAATATATGTATGTTTTTGCTTTTTTGCTGATTCCAGCATTTTCCTTGATTTTGACAATATTCAAGGTCAATTTTAAAAAAATACCAAGCTAATACAGATTTTTCATGACTTTCACATAAAAGTAGAGAACTTTCTCTTTTACAGATTGACTTTGAAAGCGTGGGTTTTTTGAAAAATCCTAGTTGCAAACAAAATTGAATGTTTTGATAACTAAAAAGTAAAAATGGTAAAGGGTTGGGTAAAAATCTTATGGATTTTTATCTTTTTGTGGCAGATACAATTTTTCAAGTAATAGAAAATAACTCTCATATAATTTTAAAAGGAAAGAATAATTTATAATCATTAATCCCCATAGCAACAGGAATTTTTTCCTAGCAACAATGCAAAAACAGTTATTTTTTGGCCTTTTCGGTATAGATTTTGATAGATACGAATAGATATTTTTTCTTTAAAATGGATTAGGCATAAATGTCAATTTAATATGGGTCTGATAAAGTTATTTTGGTACTTTAATATACCGTTACAATCTGAAACACTTAACGACCACTTTTGTATCTACAATTTACTTTTACATTCAGGCATTTCTTTCGCTAAATTTTTGAGCGCTGGAAATGAGATCTTCCACAAAAGACGTTATAAACGAAAAAATAAGTAGCTTCAGACACAATATCATTATGTAACAAAACATTTGTATGGATGACAAGATTCCATAATCAAATTATACTTTGGTTGCCATGGCAACTTAATGCACAATGACCAGAAAGCAAACTATCTTTGACCAAAATATTTGAAATTTTAGCTTCCATTAATAATTACTAGTAATACTTTTGCTAGCATTGCAATAAGCAAGCACACAGAAAGCTTTAAAATTCATAATTTAAGAAACTATATTCTTATGGTTACAAATAAGTATTTTCGTCAAATTAAAAAAATTAAATTCTATGAAAGAAAAACAGGGTTTCTGCTAAAATTTTACATTGGTGAATGAATGATAGACAAATCTTGTTGGTCAAAATTTATTTATCTTAAATTAATTAAAAGATTTATAATGTCAGAATGGAATTAAATGCACTTCATTCCTCAATACAGGAGATTAATTTACTAAAAACCAGATTAAGAGGTAGAACACAGAGCCGCCACTGACCTTGTTAAGAATATGAATATTATTTTCGCGTTCCAGCATGACTATATTACCTTGATATAGAATATGTTGAAATACAAATGAAAAAAAGTTTCTTTAAAAACATTAAATCCATATTATATAATCAATCAAGAGTCTTTTCATGTATTTTGCGCTTATTAGATATCTGATCCCAAAAGTTCTTCAAAACAAAGTGCTTGGATATAAGAAGAGACTAGTGTATTAACTTGTTCTATTTTTATGTAAAATTCAAAAAGATTAAGAGCCATAATCGTTTAAATCCAGGCCCGTAAGTTTTGGTTAATCCTTGCCTTGGTATCTAAGAGTAAAACTCGGTGACACTGTGATTAAAGCAAATAGCCAACACTGCTAAGTACTGCCTGGTCAAAAATCACATGTTGTGGACACCGGACAATCTTTTTGTTTCTGTTGTCAAAGAAGTGAAGCATTGATTTGAATGTTTGTTTCAAAACATCAGAGTGAAAATTCCAATTCAAAATCTTCACAGCAAGTTGATGTTTATGTGGAGAAAAAGCTAAGGTTTTGCCTAAGAGAATGTCAAAATACAGACGGACATCCACAGCCCCTTCGAGAGACTCTTTCGAACACTTGGATACTTTAAAGCCTAGTGTGAGTATATCAGAACCAATGTTGAAGATACCAATGCAAGAACGACGAAAGAGCATGCAGCCAACCAATCGTTCGACAGGAGGTTCTGGGAATTCTATTCAAGGGGTGATGGGAGCAAGACGGTATAGTAGGAGATTGTCATCGAAAACCCGAATGAAGAGAGAAGATACACAGGGATCTTCCTTAAATATACAATCTGTGAATATAAAACAATTAGAACCCACATACAAATTGGAACCAGATGTAAAATTTTCGGCGAAATCGGTGGAAGATATCATTAAAGATATACTTAATCGCAGATTGCAGGACTATAAGTATGACAGAGCGCAAACGCCTGTTTTTGGAAAGATTTTAAGTGACGACATCAAAGAAAGGGTAAAAAGGTTAAATTTTGACCGTTACAAGATCGTATGTTATCTTGTGATTGGTGAAAACAGAGGTCAAGGCCTTCAAATGTCCAGCAGATGCCAATGGTTTCCGAATACCGACACATTTGCCTCCTACAATTACAAGAATGCAAGTTTGTTCTGTTCATGCACCGTTTACGGGATATATGCAGAATGAATTTAAAACATTATATAGAAAATTCATAAACATATTTATTTATTATTACAAGTCAATATAAATGTATGATTATCATATCAGTATGTGCAAATTCAGTGAAATTCCTTGAATTTTTTTCTCAGAGTCCTTCGTATGTTTCTACATGTATTCTTCTGATGTAGGTTTTAGAATTAAAAGCATTGAATCTACTTTTGCAACAGTGCTCAAAATATGTCTCTGTATTATATGAATTTGTAACTTTAAAAATATATAATATTTCAACTACTTCAAATCTCATATTTTTTATAGAAGGTCATTAAGAGGATAAACCCCTGACAGTTGTAGGAATGGAATCATCCACCTCCTACCCCCGAAATCTGAAAATTAGAGATTGTCCCCTAGCTCTACGTTATCAAAAATACTTTATTCCGTAGAGGGACATTTTCTAAGACCATAACAGAAACAAAATGGTGTCATATATCGGTATATATAGACATGATGAAGTAAGGATTCATGCATTTTTAATAAGTTATCAGTGTAATATTTATATAATGGTTTGAGCGTGCATTCATTCCGAATCTCAAATATTTTGAAATCTATATGCTAGTGAAAACAATGTTGGTTAAGTCCCTATACTAGTATATACTTATATTTAATTGTATTGAAGAATTCAAATAGTACTACATAATGACCAAAGAATTAACTTCAGGGTCTTAAAGTCTTTAACCGGCATAAGAATGTTTGTGGTCCAGTTTAATGACTCTCTTTTAATCGAAGTCGACTTTAATCTTCGGAGGCTTTGTTCATTGTAACGTGAACAGCTCCACACAAAGAATCACGTATTGTTGCGTTTCTGTTAGCAACCAGTGATTTACAGAGCGAGGCAAGAGTTGCAAACTTTTATCATAAAGCCATTTTCGTTATTTAAAAAATCTATATTTTTGATTAATATATTGATTTTAGTTTTGCGAAAGGTAGAAGGGATAGATATGGATATTTACTATCAAACACTTGCTTGAAATTAGTTCAGTTCTCTTCAGTAACGGAAATTCCCTGGATTTTTTATACATAATGTGAAAATCTATAAAACGGCTTAGTTTATATATTGTTTTCAGTTCTCAATATAACCAATGACGTGGAAAATGAGTCGCCTCATATCTGCTTATGGAAAAATACAAATTACGGTTACTCAGGGCATAGCCATGCATATTGTTCTGTAGAAGCAATACTAGGAGGGGGTTTTCTCTGTAAAGAATAAATATATATTGATTGTTAAACTTGTAAAAAAAAAAATAAAAAAAAAAAATATCTCATATACTATGGTTATTTTCAGTAAAATTCAATCATTTTTTTCTTAAAATTTAAAATATTTGCGTTCTTTTTTTTTTTTTTAGTTTGGTTTAAAACGATCTAAAATTGGATGTTTCAAAGTACATTTTCACATTTATTATCATAAGAATTTTTACTTTCTCTGTGAGACAGTCCATTCTATGCAATATAGATTGGAAAGTTCTTTCATGTAAAATGATTAATTAACTGGATAATATAACCTTATAATGGCTATATTTCTTTGAGAACAAGGAGAACACGAAATTTGCTATAAATATTTTACTTTCTTGTTTGTGATTTTCTGATTCACCTTCGACACTGATTATGTTTGTCAAAATTATAAAGGTTTAGATTGGTTGAAGTATTTGGACTGGAAACATCTTGAACTCGTATTTTATTTAGTACTGCATTCATATAAATATGCGCGTTACTATTGTATCTTTCAAGCCTCTTTGGGGCCCTTGCCTGGAAATAACCTATGTCTATTTTTACTTTTAATGTGATCCAACAACACCCACAACAAGGTAATTCAATTTGAGTCACTACATACGAACCTCATATTCATCATCTGGAGATGTACCTCATTTAGTTCTATGATTTCCCATTGGGGTACCACCCTTTACCCCCCCCCCCCTCCCTAGGTAAGAAAAAACTGACCCACTGCCGGTGTAAAGACGAATAATGACCCCCATCGAATAATGACCGGGGGTCATTTTTCGACGTAGAAAAATGACCCCCGGTCATTATTCGACGTAGAAAAATGGCCCTTTTGCCCGTAGAAAAAGTGCCACTTCCCTAAAAATTTGCAGAACCCATGTGAAGAAAAATGACCCCCGTAGAAAAATGACCCCCTGTAGATTAAAGCTACAATTTTTAGGGGGCAAAAAAAAAATGAATAAAGAAGCATATTGGCCAAAATGCTCACCTGAGCTTATTGGGAATAAACTGATGATATGTTGATCTCATAACATTATACAATTATAGCTATATTTTAAGGTAAATGCAATGATTCAGAACTGAAGGAGTAAAAGATTTATCAAGCCTTAAGGGTTAGATAAACATTGTTTTTTGATGGTGGAAATCATCGAACTGACAGAAAAAATCAGCAGTATTATATATTATTATATCCTCCGCTTGAAAAGCGGGAGGGTATATAGTGATTGGGACGTCCGTCCGTCCGTCTGTTACGCTTTGAGGTATCCATCTCTTATCCGCAAATCCTCATATATAAAAAGATGAGCTTGTTAAACAGCTTTGCCCCTGTATGGCAACATAGCGAAGATTAAACTTTTCTCAAATGCAATTTAAATATATTGTTACCCAAAGTAGGGTCTCTAACAAGAAATACAACTGCAAAATAGGAAAGCCCTAGCACCACTTGTTCAAAAGTAATGACTAAGAATACGTTTTTGAAAGGTAAGTCAAACTCAAAGGTCAAAGTTGATGATTTCTTAAGAAAATGTTTAATGTAACAAGGATTACATATGTGAAGTATGAATACCCTAGCCCTTACCAAGGTAAAAAAAAAAAATCAAAAGTACGGAAAACTCCAAGGTCAAGGTCAAAAGGTCAAGGTTTTTAGTATCCAATGAAAGGTGAAGCCAAAAAACTACATATTTGAAGTATGAGAGTACTAGTATCTACCGTTTAAAAGTTATGGCCAAAGTAAAAATTTGGCATTTTTTTGTAAAATGGGACAAACTCCAAGGTAAAGGTCAAAAGGTCAAATTTGGTGGTTCCCAAAGTAAGATCTTGTCACAAGGAATATACATATTAAATATGAAAGTCATAGCTCCAATAAATGAAAAGTTATGGTAAAGGGTAAGGTTTTTGCGGACAAACAAACCGTCAGATAGACAGACGGACATACATACGAACACGATAAAACTATATACCCCCGAATCTTCGATTACGGGGACATAAAAAGAAATGGTCTTCAATTAACTTTTCATATTAATATACATTATAAAAAAGACGTTACAACAATGAAAATGTTTGTTCTGATTTTCATTCTGATTTTCATATTAAATTCTCTGAAAAATATACTCAGAACTGAGTAAAAGGGTGGAGTAAAACAAGAATTGAATACTGTGTGCTAAATCAAAAGTTTATGTCTACATGTATAGTTTTTGCATTAGAATGACTGTGTATTTTACACTAGCCCATAGCTTTACAGAGCATATTTTTAGGTCTTATACTTACCCCACCCCCTTTCTTATTTAGGAGGAAGTCGATATTGAACAAAAGCAAAAAAAAACCACCCTACCTTTATTTTGCTAAAAGAAGGAATTAAAAATAAGCTTAAAATAATCTACTGTTCTACTAATTTTTAACTGTTACTTTGCCACAATACTTTCAAGTATACCTCCACCAACATTTAAAGTATGCTTTAATCATGGCGAAGTAAATTATGATATGATAGTACTTATGTGAAGGCTTAACTTCATTTCAGTATTTTATCTAGAGCCTCTTTCAGAATTATTGAAAGGTATAGAGTTTTATTTATATTTTTGCTTTTCATTTATTTTTTTTTTGTTTTGATTAAACGTAATGTTCTTTTTTTGGGGGGGGGGGGGGGGGGATAAAAATATCTTCCTCTTTCATTGTCAAATAGGATTTGCCAAACTTAAACAAACTAAAAGTGAAAATGACGGAAAATTTAATTTTTCCTATTAAAGAGTATTTAAACCTGATTTTTGCATGGTTTGATTTCTAAAAACAAGTGGAATATCATTCTTTAAGCAAACATTATAAGGAGGAATATTAAAAAGAAATTTTATTTACTTGACAATTAAAGAATCTCTTTTCAAACACAATTTTAGCATTGAAAGACTACGTCAATCTCTGGTTACAGAAAATGTAAAAATTAGTTTCGCTGTAAAAAAGATATCAAAGAGTGTATATTTTGTATCACTTTAAAGTATCAGTCACATTATCCAGCGATGGGGTATACGATGAGAAACTGATGCGTATTTTGATGAAAATAGCGTGGTTGCCGGCCGGGCACCACTAGTAATCGGACGGTGACTGAGGCCATTTTGCGAATCGGTGGGGTCATCGGTAGGAAATAATTCGTAGTTAAAATTCAGCGATGTCTCCAACGATGCCTCACATCGCTCCTCATCGGCAACCCATCATTAACACGTCTTTCAAGGATCGGCCGATGTATGGTCGAGCATCGTCCAATTTTCGTTTAATTTGAGGTTATCGGGGGGTTGAGTGGTGTTCAACAGATAACGGCCGATCATCGGTCGATGTTCGACCAAACACTGACATGTAGTCAACCGATGTACAAAAGATGTTCACCAATGTATGAGCGATGAAATATACATCGGCCGATTATCCTGGAACATCGTTTTATGATGAGCAATGCATCGTTGGGCCTTTGTAAGTCCGGCCGGCAACCACGCCATTTTTATCATAAAACGCATTGGTTGCCCATCGTATATCCATCGCTGGATAATGTAACTGATACTTTAAGGACTACTAGGCCGATGTTGACCGATGTTGGGGCATCGTTAATACCACCGATTACCACCGGTCTACGGTTACCGGCCGGGAAATGTGACCTAGGCATAAAGGGGGTCATTTTTCAATGTGGGTCATTATTTTATAGGACTAACATATAAAATAATGACCCCCTAGGACCCTTTTTCTACAAAAAATGATTTTTTTCTACGGGTGGGGGTCATTTTTTGTCGTTGAAAAATGACCCCCCGGTCATTACATCTGTAGCTATCCGGAAAAATATATATTGATAGACCGGATAGCTACATTGCCACCCATTGAAAAAACTGTACATTTATTGAGCACAAAAAGTGCGCTCCGTTTTCGATTTAATTTTCCATGTTCCTAAAACTGTA